AGCCTGACTAAACTCAGACTTTAAAATTTATGTAAACATGTTAGTCTGACTGAAATCGTAATAAATCGAATTTCTCAAAGTGGGACTAACACACCCAGACAATGTGACTCCTGCATGTATACAGTGAACCAGAGCAGATTAATCAGTAATCATAGAGCAGATTCTGGAGAAGCAGACGACGTGCTTTTCAGAAAAGTTTAGGAAGGAATCACAAGTGTTTTGTCCGGGAAATGTGTCATACACAAATTATTATTCAAAGCAGGATAGTTTAAAAAATCAGCTCCAGTCTCGACCTTTAAAAAACCATCAGATGAACTCCTGCAGCTGATTCTGAAAACACAAAACATGAACTCTACTCTGGACCAAGCGGAATATCCCTGTCTGAATCACACACTTTAGCCCTGTGTGTGCGCGTGCTTGTGTGTGTGTGTGCGTGTGTGTGCGCATGTGTGTGTGTGAGCCACAGGGTTATTAGTTGATGTGAGTGTAAACACAGGGCTGGAAACTTGGTGTGTGTTGATGTGAGGGTTACCGCCCCCTGGCCTACTTTTGCAGAGAACACTATGTTCTTAAAACACTGATCTCATGCAGGGACAGGCGTGCACGCACACACACAGGCGCACGCTCACACACACACCAGCCGGTCACATGTCTCTGCATGCTGCGAGAGGGCGGCTTGTTTTCTTTCTCTATAAACATGAGGAACTCAGAGCGAGTAAAAGACTTCACACGGAAGTTTTCGCCGTCACACGCACACATGTTGTTACACGAGTGCGTACAGACACACACACCCATACTGAGGCCAGGACATCTGTCGAGGTGTTGAATCTGACACCTCTCTCACTCCTGGCGTCTGGGGTGGACATGTTTTCCTCACTCTGCGCAGCAGCGCAGAGCGAGCGTTACTACTTGCAGAGTTTCCCCCCATCTGAGATGAGATCTGAGCACACCTGAGCTCCTCTCACCTTTGCACTGTTTCACTCCTTACGCAGCATTTCTTTGGCCACGAGAAGGTCAAGGATTTAAACTTTGCTCTCTCTGATCTGAGAGTGTTTTCTGTGTGTGGTGAAAGAAGGTGACCAAAGATTAGAGTGCAGGACGGTGGGGTCATGTGCAAATAAATGTCTAGCAACGACGTGTAAATGATACGAGTGGACGTCAGAATGAACGACACGGTGGCACTGACATCACTTTATGACACACTGACCTCAAGGAGCGAGATATCTTTTAGATATTTTTGGATGTCTTCCTTTATGGGTTGGGGGAAAAAATCAATACAGTAAAGTATCGCAATATTTTGTGTGGCAATATTGTATTGAACAGCAAGTATTGAAATATTATTCCATAAATTATTAATGCTGCAAATACAAATTAAACTTTTGCTCGCCTACAGACTGAAACTCTATCTTATTGGATAAAAACAGACATTGACACAGTTTTTTCTTAATTTGGAGCTAATAAAATGTAATAAATTGCAATATATATCGCAATATATGTTATTACAATACTCAGTATCTTGCAAAACATTTAAAAGCGCAATAATATTGCATCATGACCAGTGTATCATGATAATATCATCTCAGGGGGTCTCTGGTGATTCCCACCCCTAACTTCCTTTGAGGATTATAAAAGAAGCCAAAGTTGTTAAAATGTTAACGTCTGATCACGAGCAGCCGAACTAAAACTACATATCTGACAGCTGTCTGATGAAACAAGAAGTAAAAAATACTACAAATATGGCCAGACATTCATGACAACTTTACTTTTACAGGGTTTTGTATAAAGGTTTTTGACACAAGTATTGATGCGATATCTTGGTTTCGGTACCGACAGTACAACAATACTTATTAGATCCCTTGCTTCTCTACAAAAATCACGTTTTCTCTTAACAAAATAACCTGGAGGTCTTAAATGGTTACTATTATTTAAAACACAAGCACCTTTATCTAAATCAAATACTTAATAATTGGCAAACAAAGTGATTTGGCTCCAGCGTGATTACTTCTTGTTTTGTTTTTTTAACTAAACCACTGGCATGTGACAGGATTTAAAAAAACATGTACAGTAGCTAAGAATCAAGCTGAGCTCAGTAATGTCTGTTTGTCTATCTAAACTTTGCTAACGTGACTAAATAAGCCATCGTGAGACACTGGTCGTACCCGTCTGCGTGGGCTGACATGCTGCTTTTTATTTCATATAAATTCAACTTTGAATTTGTTAAACAAAGTCTTTCAAAACTTATATCATTTTTACTCAGGCAGACTGTGGTCTGTATCAAAAGAGTATAAAATGTTAATTTTATTAATTCGCAGAATTAATTGTATTTTTTATTTGTTATTAATATCTCTGGTTTTTATCATCCTAATAGTCGTCAAATCCATATATTTTTTAGTCTAAAACAACCTGGTCTCACTCACAACTTGTCAACATCAACACTTGGTCAGTGGCCCTCACCATCAAAAAACAACTCATCGAGGCACCTTTGGTGTCGGTAACAGACGCAGCGGGCGCCACCATTTTTTTGATGCTCTGAGCAACTGCCGTACCATAAAGAGCGAGAAAGGCGGAATGGTCAAACAAACTCCAGACTTTCACCCAGGAGACTGCTCTCTGTGTCCTGTGTAACAGCAAAAGTCAACCAAGTTATTCTAATATGTCATATGTATATATGTATGTCATGTGGTGTTACGTCACATTATTTAAGCCAAGCATTATGTTTTTTATCATACTCTAACCACATGTCAGGTCTGCACATTGTTTCCCTTTCACACATGTAGCACATAAAATGAGCCTGTGTGTGTCAGACCTGATCACACCTGCTGGATATACTCTGTATGGTTAAGCGAAGGGTGGTGCCTGCATGGAGCATGCAGGGTGCAGCGCATGATGCAAATTACACCGTGATCCCTTAGCGTGTTTGTAATTGTATCTTGCCATTTTATTAATTTGTCTGTTTTTGGCCCTTAACAACAGAAGTTCTTGAACCTAGCCGTTTCTCCAGTTAGACATTTTTGCTGCTAACGATTCTTCTTCTTCACCTGCTGTTAGTTTTCCTCTGGTTTTCCATGAGCCGCACACGCCTTTGCTTGCAGTGAATTCTCTGGACAATGATCTGCTCTATTCACATTAAGGACTTTGTACTCAGGAGCTGGCAGGGTTCTTTTCATTTAATGTCCGACTCAACTGATTTGGATATTTGCGTTCTCACGTACAGCTCCTCCAGGTAATGTCTAGATAATTTCAGGTTTGCAGTGTAAAAAGGCGTATAGTTCAATGTGCGGGCCGCTGCCCAAGTGTCGGTATTTGATGAGTTGGTTTGGTGTGAGACTGTGTTCTCTAAAACTGCTGAAGCCTATAAAGTACCCATTGTGTGTAAGTTTAAACTTGTAGAATCTGAACAGCCCTCAGGGTGCTAACACCAGTAGACATGACCTCAGTGTTGCTGTAGCTACAGCCCTGCTGAGAGTCCTGCTATTAGACCATCGATTTTCATCTACAGCTAAAAGTACAGAAATCATTTAATCTTAAAGCTGAACTCATGTGAACTCATTTTAACCGAATCCTCCTCCTCGGCTACGAATCAAACTGTTCCTCGAGTGAGATATTTAGCCGATTGATTTTTCTATACAAAGACCAAATCCCCCCTGCAGCCCTGAACGCCTCCTGCCTTTTTTCTGCTCATCCATCACTGCTAATCACTCAGGAGGACAAAGGCTTCTTACTCCTACTGCAGCTACAACTTATCATGAAAGATGTCCTTTTGTTTTCAGCCTGAGATAACAAAGGGGAAAACTGGTTGTTCAAAGTAATGCTTTGTAGTGGTGCTCTGGTGGTGCTTCTTTTAGTGTTGAGTGAGACATGCAGCCTTGATTTCACTGACTGCCCTGCTTTTCAAGACTGGTGGAGATTTCTGAGCCCATAGAAGAGCGTGTGATCACTTAAAAGAACATGTCTGTGTTTTAGCTCGTACAAATTACGTAACCTTCATATTTTGCTGATCATTTTAAAAACATGTTGTAGAGTTTTAGATTTCTAGGTGTATTTCTCCTTTAATTCCAGACATATGTTGTTTTCCATTCACACTGTAATGCACATAAGTCAATTAGCAGTCTCTTAAACTACAGCAGAAACAATTGGTCAATTAATCAATTAGTTGAGCGGTTGATTGACAGAAATTTACTGGGAAAAGTCAGGTTTTCTTACAGTCATATGATACTGTACTGAATATCTTTGGGGTTTTGAAACACCAAAGAACTTTCGCTGCATCTTTAAGAAAACATGCGACTGGGTTGAGAATGATGACTGGCGTTATAAGAGTATAGCTCAGTGCGTGCTAGGGAATGCGTGGTTGAGAGAGATGGTGGTGACTGCGCTGACAACACACAGGTGTTGGCATTCAGAGCAGCAAAGAAAAACTGTGGTCTATGGTGCACGGCCTCACCTAGACTCATGTGCTCGCAACTCTTATTTATCTTCCCATAAAAATAAAACAAAACAAAATGTTTCGCTTTCCGCAGCATTTATGGTAATGCTGGGCAACTTTTCATCATTCACACTTGTTCATTATTGTGTAGTTCCTCAGGGATCATCCTTTGTCCTGTTATCTTTCTCCCTAAAAATGTAATTTCGCTGCTATGCTGATGACACCCTGCTTTATCTGCAAATAAAACAAAAACAAACAGGCTTATTTACAGCTTCTAAAGGACTGTCTTTAGAGTAGGCCGTAACTTTCCTCAGCTGAATGAAACCAAGATATTTTTTGTGCCTTTACTGAACCAACTGTTGGTAACGTTCTGTAATGAACGTAAAACAGAAGTTACCTTCAATGGAAAAAATATGTCTAAAACACAGCAGTGTGGTTTGCAAATCAAATTCTCCTTTTAAGTTTATACACCAGTGGAAGTAAATGGAGTAAAAATTGCACAAACATCATCGTAAACTGAGGCTGGAATATGAAAATGAATTATAGGAGAAACGGTGTGTGTGTATTTCTGTGTTACCTGCTCTTGCGGGGCTGCTGTGCAGGCAGTTTGGAGAGACGACGCTTGTGTGTACAGAGGTGGAGGCGTGGTTGCTGAGGTCCATCACAGAGGGTGACGACGTGGGCGCGGCTTGGGACATAATTGGCGGCTGGCGTGGCGGAGCGTGTGGTTGGTGCTGGTTGAGTTGGTGGTGGTGCTGGGAGGGGCTGGAGGGGATGCCGTTCTCAGACAGGAACTCTTCCAGGTCCATGTACTCCAGCTGGAAGGTGTCTCCATCGTACGGCAGAGTCTTGTCCCACAGCGTGGGGCCGAGGAAGGCTGACTGGGGGGCGCTACGCTCCTCCTCAAGGTTCTTCTCCTTCTCCTGCTCCTTGCTGAAAGCTACACGAGGACAGAGGGAATGAATCAGTCAGTGCAACTCAAAATAAGAAAATCCTTCTGTTTGGGTATGGATCTTGGGATTTGGATTATAACCTCTTAGTTTCTCAAGTCCAATGCTAGTCCTGCCTTAAAGGAGCCCTGAAGAGTTTTTGATCACCTGCAGCTCCGTGAAGCATTTGGAAATTATATTGTTGAGCAGGTCCACATTTTGTGGCATCTCACGCTCTACTAGCACATGACACAGATTTAGAAAATGTTGGAATTGTATATTTCTGCAAACTATAAATAAGTTACATTTGCACATTGTATATCAACATTTCTAAAGTGGCATGTCACCTAGGTGAAACGACTGCCAAGCTGTAGACCAATGTTTGAGACCAGCAAATAAGTCGTTGCTATTTTTCCAGCAGCTTTTAGCCTCCAGACGTGGGTGTTTTTTAGCGACCAGTCATTGTTTTTCCAGCGGGGACAGAGGCACAAAAAGTGGTTGCATTTTACTGAGATATCGTTGTGTTTCCAGTGCCCCCAAAACTGAATATTTTGAGCCAGCACATGACCTTTTCCTAAACATGACCAAGTTTTTGCTTTGTTTTTATTTCGAATCTGAACTGCATAATAACATGCAGATGTAACATATCTGTGGTTTGCAGAAACATAATGCCAACATTGTTTCTGGCAGCTGGGTTGCCAAAAAGTCCTCCAAACTAAACAACCAAATGTGATATTTATCACTGCTTTCCAATATGAAACTCTGTACTGAGCATTTTCTGATCTAACAAGATGCCATTGTTTGTCAGTGTCTACCAACACCATCAAAATTCCAAAAATGACTCACATGACTGTTTTCTACTTGCCATGATTAAGGTTTGTTTGTGTTTTCGTATGTAAGAGTTGATTATAGTTCGGAAAAGATCATGGTTCACATTTATAAAAATATTTGGGTGAGGGCAAGAAATGAACACTTATACTGTGGCTTTATGACTGTAGATTATAATATATGGGTGTCACCCTGTTCTTGCTCTGGTTGCTACAACAGAAGCATGTAAACAAATGCTGCTTTTGTCTCAGTGACACTCAGTCCTGCTGATGATTTCATGCTGTTCCACTAATCGCCAGCTGGTGGCGGTAATGTCTCTGGAGCAAACATAATGCAAATTTTTTTTAAAAAATATCATATACATCAGTTTTGCAGCTTGAATAAATAAAGTTAACATGAGATTAATGCATCAGGTGAAAATGATGAAATTTTAGGCACAGCTCATAATAAACAATGGCGCCTGGACATCTGTGTCATCCAACAAGAAGACTGAAATGCTTTTCATTAGCAGTTAAAACCTAAAACAAGAGGGATTATGGGTATAAAGAGGCAGATTTCATAATAGGAAACTCAACATGAAGTGACGAGGGAGTGTGTTTCTAGTGAGTCGCCAAAACTGGTGAAGAAGACGGTTTAGATTTTACAGTTTAGACAAAGAACTTGAAACATGTTCACAATACTTCAGACAATGTCAGACCTTTAATGTTTCCTCAGAACCGTCATGGTTCCTCACTGACAGCGAGGTGTGTCCTTGAACACAACACTGGACCTCTATCAGCTCCACAAACCCTGACCTCTGACCTTCCTATGAACAGACGCATCTTTCCCACAGGAATCAATAAGTTTTCCACTGTTTATTATTATTGATTATGAGTGTTTTTGTGACACTTCACAGACACATTTCTGCATGTTTGTCACCAAACAACCAATATTATGACTTTACGCTCCACATTTAAATATGCTTCAAATGCATGCACTGAAATATCTGCTAAAATTCCAGCAATAAAACCCAACCATTTTCAGTTAATGAAATGACAATTAGGTTGGTCACAAGTGTCTTTGGTGGGAGGGGTTTGGCTGTGCAGCTCTCTTGGCAGGCACATTTAACAAACATTAATATTATAATTACATTACAGCTCATCTGGCCTGATTTTAATATATATGGAATGAGCGTTTATAATATTTATATAAGGCACTTAATTCGCACTGCTCCTCTGCACATTTCCAAGCATATTTCTGCCTGGACTGCTATGAAAAGTTTATCTGCGTGAGACTCAGAGTTAACCTTCCCTGCAGCTTTAGATACAGGTTCAAAAAGACTAAAGAAAAGTGCAGAGACACACTCCATGCTTGGAACGCAGCTCTGACAGCTCAGCGGCAGCATGACTGAGATTCCTCGTAAATCAACTCTCTTTAAAACACCCAACACTCCATGCAGTCAACATGAACAGTAAATCACAGCCTAATAAAAGCAGACAGTAAATCATGTGTTGAAGCTCTGCGGCACCGTTTCTCTCCCAACTTCACCTTCATGATGTAGCGGCAGCTTCATCGGGTTCTCCAGCAGAGACTTGAGCACTCCGTGCGTCGCTGAGGGCAGAAAACTTGGATTGAGCGGGATGGGATGTCGGGACATTTTCTCCATCACGCCTCCTTGCATCGGGCGAGCCGGGGTCCGAAAAAACACAAGTGAAGAAGAAGAAGAAATAAAACCAAAAGGAAATGTGGGGAAGGAAAAGTGTGAATGTAGTTGGTGAGTCCTCGGCTCTGCAGCTACATGGAAACACTCAGATTATAAAATGATCACAGCCCTTAGAATAAAACCCTGTCTGCTGGAATAAAAACAATAATCGGCGCGGGACGTGTTGTGGGCGCGTGTGGCGGTGCCTGACCGGGCTGCAGGAGGCGGACAGACCGATCACCGATCCCATGTGTGAGACCGGAGGACTGCTGACGTCAAACACCCGCCTCTCTACCTCCACACCCCTCCTCTATCTCTCTCCGCCTTTCCTCACTGCTCACTCAAATCTGCAGAGCTGACCATTTATTACAGTCAATTAATTTATATCAATTATTATTAATATTTTAATTATATGTGAAGAAATATGTGATTTCTTTAAGTAACCCTAAGGAGTCCTCCCAAACCCTCATATTAATTAATAGCTGTATATACAAATTCAAGTATTTTTTTGTGTGCAGCCCAACTTTCTGTCCATTTTACGCACACAAATATTCTTTTCAAAACACAATGCCTTTGAAATCCTAAATAATCCTGACCTCACAAAATTTTATTTATCATAAATTATTAATGTGAATAATCTCCCAACTTCCTTTGATCAGAAGAGACGCGCGTGTCTCTCCTGTAAAGAGTTAAAGCGCGCAGCTGGTGACACATGAGTGCAGAGACCAGCTGACAGTTTTGTTGTCTGAAGCCTCCATTCATGAATTTATGATATTTCAATACATATTCTTTAGTTCTGGATGATTAATAAGTGAGGACACACACACACACACGGACACACACGCGCGCACAGCCTTTAGAGAGGAATGCTGAGTGGGCCGGCTTGACCTACTTTTATCCAATGAGAAGCCGCCGTGTCCCGCACTCCTCCCCCTGCTCCCCCCTGCTCCCCCCCTGCAGCCCGGGCACATTGAACCTCATGTGCTCCGGAGGAGAGGAAAACAAACCGAAAGGAGAGGAGGGAGGGAGAGGAGAGAGGAGAGGTGGGAACAAGAGAGGGGAGGAAAAAAAAGAGAGGAGAGGTGGAAACATGAGGAGAGAGGAGAAGAGGAAACAAGAGAGAAGAGGAAAAAAAAGACATAAAAGGAGGAAAGAAAAGCGGACGAGAGAGGAGACGAGGAGAGGAGAGAGGGAGAGAGGAGAAGAAAGGAAAGGAGAGAGAGAAAGGAGAGGGCAGGAGAGGAGAAGAGGGGATAAGGAAACAAGAAAGAGAAGTGAAGGAGGGAGGATGAGAGGAGAGAAGGAGAAAGGACATGAAAGACTGATGCAAAAGGAGAGGAGAGAAGGAAACAAGAAAGGAGAGGAGAAAGATGACAAGAGAGGAGATGAGGAGAGAAGAGAGCAAGGAGAAAAGGAAAGAGGAGAGGTAAGGAAAGGGAGAGAAGAGGAGATGTAGAAAACGAGGAGAAAGGAGAGGAGGAAACAATAGAGGAAAGAAGGAGAGGGTAAAGGAGAGGAGGAGAGGAGATAAGGAAACAAGAAACAAAAGTATAGGAGAGAGGATGAGAGAGAGAAGGAAAAAGGACATGAAAGAGTGATGCAGAGGAGAGGAGGAAACAGGAAAGGAGAGGAAAAAGATGACAAGATGAGGAGAGAAGAGAGCAAGGAGAAAAGGAAAGAGAGAAGAGGAGATGTGGAAAACGGGGACAGAGGAGAGGAGAGGAGGAAACAAGAGAGGAAAGAAGGAGAGGGTAAAGGAAGGGAGGAGAGGGGATAAGGAAACAAGATGGGAGAGAGGATGAGAGGATGAGAGGAGAGGAGGAAAAAGGTCATGAAAGAGGAGACAAGGAAACAAGGAAGGAGAGGAAAAAGATGACAAGAGAGGAGATGAGGAGACAAGAGAGCAAGGAGAGAAGGAAAGAGGAGGAGGGGAGAGGGAAGGAAAGGGAGAGAAGAGGAGATGTGGAAAACAAGGAGAAAGAGGAGGAAACAAGAGAGGAAAGAAGGAGAAGAGGAGAGGGGATGAGAGGAGAGGAGGAAATGAGTGAAGGGAAGAAAAAGGACATGAAAGAAAGAAGCAAAAGGAGAGGAGAGGAGGGGCCTCATGAAAACACTGTGATGGTGACACGTATGAACACTCTGTGAGGCCGTGACTTTATCAGGTATTTAACAGCAGAGAAATATTAAAGGGATATTTTAAGGTCATTACATAACAGCTAAGTGACACATGTACACTCTGTGTTTGAGTGATTGTACTGGCCCATATCATCAGACCTGTCTGTACATGTGAACATGTGAACATGAGATGGCTCACTGTGACCACCTTCAGTCAGACTCCTCTTACATCCAGCAGCCAAACACCAGATGTGACACCGGCTGGAAAAAGAAGAAGAAATCCTCAGCAGCCCTGACAAATCCCTATCAGCCCTGCTCTCATTAAAACTTCTTTAGCAACAGCGGTTGCTACAGCACGGTGATGTTGTGATGACCTTTGTGAGCGAGGAAAGTAGGACAGGGCTCAGACTCACTGAGAGGTGACTCGGACAAACGCAAAGCTCTGACTCATCCCTTTAATACGCACGGTCGATCTGTGACCCACTCGCTGTCACCACCTGCAGTGTCTGTATACATTAATGGTTACACCTGTTAGAAACACCGTCTGCTGCTCTGCAGACAGATTTATGGGACATTCTGAGCAGGTGTTCATTTTAAAGCTGCTCTAATAAACATTACACACCAACAGTACATCAAGTGACGACACATCATGTGAGTCTTCACCTACAGTGATGTTTTTACTTGACAAAATGCAGTCATGGCAGATTTGCACAGGATTGAGATCACAGATTACATCTACAATTATTACTAATGACTAGAGGTCCCCAGGTGAGACTAATCTTATGTGACAGCCCACAGTGCTGGGCTTAAAATGTGGTTAGGTTTAGGCACAAAAGAAAAACACTTGGTTATGGCTTAAAATATCCAGTTTTGGGGGCACACTCCCGACAGGAAACGGCAAGGACTCGCTGTAAGGCTATTGTGCTTCTGTGCATGTCTCATGTCTACTGGATGCTTCTCCGTCACATCACGCTCACGTCTCTCCATCATGGTTCAGACTTTCACTGGCAGACTTTCGTGAAGCAGCGTGTTCTTCAGCACAACACATAAGAGTCTGCATTACATTAAAGCCTCGTTTCCACTGAGCGGTACGGTACGGTTCAGTCCAGCATGTTTTTATTTCCATTTCCACAGTAAAAGTTGTGGATGGTACCAACAGAGCTGTTCCTTAGCGTCCCCATGTTTGGTCCTCCCTCTGTTGGGGTACCTAGCACACAGATCTGGTACTAAAAGGTGGAGCTAGAAACCCTGCAGTCTGATTGGTCAGTAGAGGACGGTCACTCTGGTTTTATGTAACCTCTGTTCATACATCAGTAAACTACAACTATAAAATGAAATAGAAAAAAATAACTTCATTCACTGGGCCGACTGCCGGCAACTTTTAAGGTGGAACGTTAACTTGTAATGTTACTCAATGCATGAGTTGATGACGTGAATCCATCAGCACACCTTAAATTTCACTGTGACAACTTTGATCATCACTTTAGTTTTTATATGACACACACTTTTAGTAATGACTTTAAAAATATAGATGAATTTGGAGCGGATTATGTGAAGGTCATATATTCTAATCCTCACTTCCTGTGGGCTACAGCAACACTAAACCCCTGAGCTTGCCTGAGAAGGACTAAATGCACAAAGCTGCTATTTTTAAATATCCCATGGAGAGAGACTCTCACTGCAGCCTGTTCTATTTTGTTTTGAAAATGTGGGCGTGCAGCCTCGTTCTGTGGACGATAAACCAGGTGCAGACTTCCATCTGTGTCACCGCTGATGAGGAAATACAGCGAGTGCTGGACGGAGCAGTGAGTGACAACAACCCCGCCCATATTTAAGAGGACTGTCTGAACAGACCGAGGGTCTAGGTACCATGTCTGAAGGGTCACTGCTGGTTCCAAAGGTGCTGGACTGAAAGATAACATTCCTTCCTTTGCTTCAGACAGACATAAAAAAGCAAAGATAGTTTTGTTTAACACTAAGTCAGGATCATGCTTCAAAGGTGCAGAATGCGCTGGAAAAAAATGACTGTCTTCGCTAAAAATGGTCATATTAAACATGTTCTCACCCCAACTCGTCAAATATCACTGCTTTGTCAGTGGACTTCCCCGTCTCCAGGTAGGCAGGTATCCTCCTGTGTCTGTTGCTGATGTTCCTGGACAGCGTGTCAATTTACATCTGTTACATGCATTGTGTCTTTTCAAAATACACTTCCATTTTCAACAGAAAATGTACGGTTTCTGCACATTAGATGCATAAAGTCTTTCTCTTGGTTTATTTTCTCGTGCAACAAATGCAAGTGGTTAGCTTTAGAAGAAAACAGGATGATTTGGATCAGAATTCACATGGGAAGCAAACATCGTGCTGACTAACAGAGCAGCAGTATCTGGCAAGTTGGGAATGAGAATCAGCTGTCAGTTAAAATTAAAATATGAATTTAATAGTATTAATCTGGAACATCTGGGATTAACAGAAATTCAAGGCATCCTGTCACGATCTTAAATGTTTAACAAATGGATAATCTGATGTGTACGGTAGTGCAGAGTTATCAGGATTAATTAACTGGAGATTGGAACAAATGACCAACAGACGTCACCATCTTTAGCGCCAGGACACCAGTGTGGCTACAAACACGGCTAAAACCTAATCAGTCTCTTTTATTGTCAGAACACAAAGATATTAGTCCTCGTTATGACACAGAATATGCTGTAAACATGGCAACAAGGATTCATAACTGGGTTTCTAGTTATTCTTTATCATTCGGTCAAAGTCTGGGCCACAGAGAGTCTACTGTGAAACTTCCAGAAGAGTAAATTGGATTTTCCTCCTAAACGAAGGGATTTGCCTCCAGTCCAGTTCATGCTGAGGAGCTAATTTACCACAGGAGCTCAGTTACACAGAAGCCCTTGTTTTGTGGGTCACTTTTTGTTTTTTTATAACCCACTGTAAACAGCAGTGTGGTCATGTAATCCCAGTGTGAGTGTCGTGCCTGCATTGCTCTTTGAAATTCTGATTTACATAACCAAAGCTGGCTTGAATGAGCTCAGTCAGAACCTCCTGGTACGTCTTAAGACTCAGCGTGGCCGAGCCAAGACCTGCTAGACGCTTATTAAGACCTGTCATCACAAAGAACTTAAGGAACAGAGATG